CTGCGATATTGTCCTCGGCCGTCGCCCCCACCAGGTCGTCGTCCGGTTCCTGCTGCGGCTCGGCCGCCACTCCGGATAGTCGCTTGCGCACCTCCATGGCTGACATATTGAGGGTTTGCCTCCTGGCCGCGTTCAGTGCATTTCCTGCTGCCTGTTGATTCCGATTCTTGCGCTCTTCGAGGGCAGTCAGCTCATCGCGATACTTCATGTTGTTATAGATGTCCATGTCCAGAAAGATCATCTCCTTGATGGTCATGTAACCGATACAGAACACCAATCGGGAGACCAGAAAAACAGGCATCAGACTGCGATTGGACTGGAACTGGCTATCTGGTTGAGTCTGAGTTAGGGGAAGGGTCTGCGAGTAGGGAATCTCCACGGGCTGAGATTCCAAAACGTTCTCCTGGTTCCCATCGGCTGGGGAGGATTCCAGAGCAGCTGCTGCCGCCGGCTCCTTAACCAGCCAGCTCTCGTTGAACCGCTTGAGCAGAGTCACCACCAACTGCTGGGCAATCACATCCGGCGCCTGGCACATCCTGTAGTAATACTCAAACACACTCATGGCCAGAGCATCAAAATCCGACAACTTTTGGTGAAAAAAGAAGTCCAGAAAGAGTCGCGTGATTTTTCCCACAAACTCCGCATCGCTGTTGTTGCGTTTATAGTACTTGGCATTATTGTTGGCATCGATCGAGTTGACCAGCAGCTGCAGACAGCCGGTGAAAATGCGAGGATCGCGGCGTACCCGCTCGCCGGCGGCAATGTCCTCGATGATGGTGGTGTTGGCCGAAACAATGCTGGCTTTTGATTGCGAGGCCATGATCAGGAGCTGAAGAGCAAGGCGCGACTCGTTGCTTGTGGTGCCCTCTAGCTTAAGAGTGAACCGCTCAAAGAGCACTTGAATGACAGCGGCATCGATGTCACCGCCCGCCACCCATTCGGCCATCAGGGACTCCAGGGCCGTGTAGTGGCCGTACTCAATCTCCGAGAGAAACTTGGACAGGTTCTGCACCACCAGGATGGCGTGAGCACGGCCCGATTGGTCCGTGGAGAACAGAACTCGCTTGTAGGCATCGCATACGGCATCACGCTTCTCCTTGTCCGACGACCAAACCAGCTGCAGCATGCGCTGCATTCCCGAGTCTGTGCCGTGAATTCCAAACATATAGCCGGTGGTGAAGAGATCCACCGCTTCGAAGACATCCGTGTTCGTCTTGGACATGAGCATTTCGTGCAGCTTAGGGAACGCCGATGTCACCAGCACTGCAAAGTCTATGCTGTCCTTGAGGAACTGCACGGTTTTGATCTGTTGCAGCATCTCCTCGCTCTGCAAGTAGAGTTCTGGTAAGTGAATATAGTCGAGTTATTTTTTGGGAAACCTACACTCTGTTTGAATCCAGCGGCCAGTAGGTGATAGGTCTTTAGCAAGGCCAGCACATACACACAATGCTCCTCGTGCTTCAGTAAGGAGCTGTTTAAGATTGGGAAAGATCCAAGTTGATCAGATATATTTAAGATCCAATTTCTGATCAGCAATATACCTCATGTTCTGGTTGCCGGCCAAAAAGTCAACCTTTCGCACCAGAACAATAACATCCTTGTAGTTCTTTTCGCGCATCAGCGGCACGATCCTCTCCAGCAAGGTCTCGTCGCTCTCCTCCTTGTCGAACTGCATGTCGGGAACTGAAAAAATTACAATCTCATGGTAAACTTGCAGTCGACGAAACCATTGACTTGTACTTACACTCCGTTAGGTTAGATTCGATGAAGGGCAGAAGTTCGGGCGCCAGGGTGCTGAACTCATCGTTGAGCTTCTCCTCCTGCTTGCGCTCTTCCTCGAGCACCTCATTCAGTTTCTCCATGGCCAGAACCTCGTGCTCATGCTTGGCCCGCAGCTCCTCCAGGGAAAGTTTGCTGCAATAGGGATTGCTCTCTAGGGCGGATTTGATCAGCATCATGGCGGCACGCCGCACCAGGGAGCTCTTGTCCTCCAGCCTTCCGATGGCTTCGTCCAACACCCTCGTCAGGAAGTTAAGCGGAATGGCATGCTGCACTTTCAAGTGGTGCCAGATGTTCAGCACCTTGGAGCGCACATGCGCCGAGATGTCCAAGATGTGGGCCACCAGGTGCTCGAGGAACTCGTTGCGCACTTCCTTCAGTTCCTCGCTTAGATCCTCCGAGGTCAGTTCGCTGACCACCGTGTCCCCGATGATCTGCAGCACACAATTGCGCAGCGTGTGCGACTGGCAGTCCAGCAGGTCATCGGCCAGCTTCTCCAGATGCGGGATGATCAGCGAAGGCGCGATGCTTGAGAACTCGGCCAGGAAATTGGAGAAGTGCTTGGACACCGTAGAGTCGGCAGTGTCCAGCTTCAGGGCATCCACGATGTTCTTAATTAAAATGGAGAACACAGACGAGATGCCGTACTCCTCGTGCAGCAGTAAAATGCCGGCGGCCACAGACGCGGCCGCGTGCTCAGTGCCGCGCAGAATCTGCAGAATGCGGACTGGGAAGGTCATGGCCTGGTTAAAACGCTTGATCGAGGTGCCCAGGATCTGAAAGATAGTGTCAAAGACGTTCCTGTTGTCCGGACGAAGCGGCAGCAGCTCAAGTGTTCGATAGCAGACATCGCAGAGCAATCTGTTAAAGGCTGACGATTAGACATTCTGTATTGATTCACCCAGTAGAAGGATACCCACGAAATGAAGTCATCCTCGGCGACGGGAGGACTCCAGAGATTCTCCAGCGGGCACTGCAGCACATTGAAGAGCTGCACGAGAAACTTGGAGCGCTTGGCGTCCCAGTTGGGAAAGTGCTCCAGCGAATCCGCCTGCTTCGCCCGCTTTTTCTGGACATTGACCTGCTGATTCCGCAGCGCCTGCTGAACACAGTTGTTGATCTTCTTGACCAGGCTCACTTGCAGGAAGAGCGTCATCTTGGTGAGATTCAAGTAGCTGCTGCGCTGCTGGTTGGACATGGGCTCGCTGGCCACCAGCAGTGGCTGAAGGTCCTGGAACAGCTTGTCCACAGTTAAATAGAGGAGATCGAAGGACCTCATCAGGCTCTGGCTGGAGCTGGCATCGGAACTCCGTGTCTCCAGGACCGAGTAGTATATGTCAAAGTGGTCGAACATGTAGAAAGGGTCGCCCATTTGGACTTTGCGCTTGCATTCTAAAGGGGGAAAAATAAGAAATTGAGTGTGTTCCAAACTGTACGCATTTAAAAAGGAAACCGCGCCAACGGGCACTCACCTTGCAGCTTTTGGGGAATTTCGGCGCTGCCAAATATCTCCTTTACGTAGTACTGATCCCCACTGGAGTTCTTGAGGTCCGAGGAGTTCAGCGGGAGCACAAACTGGAAATCGTGCGATTCCTCCATCACACGTATCTTTCTTATTCACAATTCAATATAAAAATATTATTCAGGATTGAGTGGCGTCGTTTACTGAGATGAAACACATTCGCCGCCTTATCGATTGTCTGATATCGGTTATCGAAGCTGGTGGTGAGACTTCAAAAGTGTGACCGGAAAATGGCTACTCATCGTAAGAATAATAAGGGGACTCGATTATTTCATATTCAGAAAAATAAACAATATCAATATAAGCTGTATTGTTTCTTCCACCAACACAATCTCTGATTTTTTTTATCCTATGTAACTATTTTCGTAACCAGGAAATGTAGAAGGCGCTCAGCGTAACTGAATTAAGTTGTTAAGGAATCTTCTAAGGAATACCCTTGAGGAAAATCGAAAACAAATATGTGATATATCGATAGTTCTATCGACAGATTGCGCTTCTTTACCATAGACGCCGTGCCGATTTTTCGCACTCGCATTTAAATAGTTTTTCTTTTGAATTTAAGCACTTTTTTAATTGATAGACACATACAAACTTGACAAAATGCGTCCGCCAGAGTTCAAGCTTAACAATCCGCCGGAGGATCTGATCTCCGCCGTGAAATTTGGGCCCAAATCGAATCAGTATATGGCGGCGTCTTCGTGGGACGGAACACTCCGGTTCTACGATGTGGCGGCAAACCAATTGCGCCAGAAGTTCCTGCAGGATGCTCCGATTCTGGACTGTGCCTTCATGGTGAGAATGCAGCTATCTACTCATTTCTAATCCCCCACTAAACAACAAATCCGCAGGACATAGTTCACGTGGTCAGTGGCTCGCTAGACAACCAACTGCGCCTGTTCGATGTGAACACCCAGGCGGAAAGTGTGGTTGGTGGCCACGAGGAGCCCATCAGATGTGTGGAGCACGCCGAGTACGTCAATGGCATCCTCACCGGCGGCTGGGACAAGAACGTGAAGCTGTGGGACATGCGGGAGAAGCGCTGCGTGGGCACCTTCGAGCAGAACAACGGCAAGGTGTACTCCATGTCCGTGATCGACGAGAAGATCGTGGTGGCCACCTCCGATCGCAAGGTGCTGATCTGGGACCTGCGCAAGATGGACAGCTACATCATGAAGCGGGAGTCCTCGCTCAAGTATCAGACCCGCTGCATCCGCCTGTTTCCCAACAAAGAGGGCTACGTGATGTCCTCCATCGAGGGCCGTGTGGCGGTGGAATACCTAGATCACGATCCAGAGGTGCAGCGCCGCAAGTTCGCCTTCAAATGCCACCGGAACCGGGAGCAGAACATCGAGCAAATATACCCGGTGAATGCGCTGAGTTTCCACAATGTCTACCAGACGTTTGCCACTGGCGGATCTGATGGCATTGTGAATATTTGGGACGGATTCAATAAGAAACGCCTGTGCCAGTTCCACGAATACGACACCTCCATATCGACGCTCAACTTCAGCTCCGATGGCACCGCTTTGGCCATCGGCTGCTCCTATTTGGACCAGCTGCCAGAGACTCCGGCAACTGTGCCCCATCCGGCCATCTATATACGTTATCCTACGGACCAGGAAACCAAGCAGAAATAACGTGCCTCCCGAACTCTCTTTATTTTTATCAACGTATGGCGTAAATAAACTTATTATCAAAGTAAGCTACTTAATCTGGTCCTTTAATTTAGCGTAACCATCTTTAATGACTACCCTCATCAGTTTTCCCAGCACAAATAAAAGTTCTATGAAACTCATGACAGACGCCCCTATATAGAGACTTATGATGCCGCCAAAACTAGCCAGCAAATCGAGGTTCGTGTACTTGAGTCTTGTGATGATTTTGGTCATCGAACGCTGGCCGTAATATATCTGTGCCGTGATTAATGTCTCTGTGGAGTTTTTGGGGCTTTAAGAGAAGGAAATTTTGTAATTTTTGTGAGTAAATTTATGATTATGACTTACTAATCCAACTTGCGCACATTGAGCGTCAGTTTGTACTGCCTTGAATTGCAATTGTCTGGGCAATCACAAAAATGCCCCCGTCGCGAGTCGTTGATATATTTATCCTGGTCGCCCATCTTCACATAGCTAAAAATATCGGAATTACTGCCCAGACATCCTGCATCCAAAATACCGCACTCACGAATGCCCTCTGAAAGGTTAACTTAAAATAAACATATGTAGCTGGAAGTAAAGTTTCCAAGACTTACCAAAGGGAGGCAGAAACACTGACGTGGAGCAATTGCAGGTCTTTAATACAATTTGATGAAGGCACACAGCCATACAATTTTCCCGATCATAGGTTAATGACGTGTTCTGGAAGTTGGGACTCTGTTCGTTCTAAGAAAATAGGAATTTACTAGAGATTTTGTTAATTGCTTACACTTTTGGCTCACATCAAAGTAGCAACGCCTCTTGCTGGGACTCATTTTATATGTGTTAGGGGAGGTTTCCGTGACTATGGGTTGTACAGCCACAAAGTTCTCCGTATCCGGATAGAGGTGATACATCATTTGATTCGACCACTGACGTGGCTCCTTGATCATGAGCTGATAAATCAATTATTTCATTGGTTTAAACACAAAATAGGAGGAAATACCTACATTCATTCCAAAGGGAGTTTCCTCACCATCCCTTAGAAACGGATAGCTCGCATTGATGGTGAATTTCAGACCCGATTCCTCGCCAGCGGTGCTCAACTTGTGGGGATAGAACTTGTTCGTCAGCTGCTTTTTACGGGAGTGCTCCGAGATCAGGGAGTTGAACACCAAGCACTGTCCCTTCTCCGTTTGCTCCGGCACAAATAGTGTGCAGCAATCATGAGGACTCTCATCGAAGCCGCAGGAACCAGGAACGAATAGCTCATCACATCGATAACCCAGGTAGTTCATTAAATCCTTCAGATTGAGAAATCTCAACCCAGTGACATTCCTTTTGGCCAGATCGCTTGCCCTTTTGAAATTGGAGAAAGAAGTTAGGTCCAAGACGTCAAGTAGCTGGCGGAATGTTTCCCGCAGCTCGGCATTCGGATGGCCGGGCAGAAATCGGAGTAATGCAGACGGAGCCCTCTGCCAGTTGACATGACTCCATGGACAAATGGCCACCGCTGGGAAGTCGATGTGGTACACCGGCAACTGGGTGGTATCTATCAAGCTGACCAGCAGCTGCTCACTATGGCGAACCCCCAGCACGGAGTACATACTGAAACCGGCTACTCCTGCCGCCAAGGCAACGGTGAGCCAAAGGCAGCGTTGCCACAGATGCCGCTCCCCGAAGACGTGCCGCATCCCATGGATGGTGGAGTGGGCAAAGGAGCTGCGCAACCTATCCCGGAACCTAATCCCTGTTCGCTTCTTTCTGAACCGGAGCAGTCCAAGGTTTGGTCGCGGAGCCACAAGCTCCCCGGTGTACAGCAACATGACGAATGGGAAAAGTTTGCTGAAGCTATTGTTTGGTGGACAGGATTCATTAGCTGGCAAAATGGGTGTGGAGTACAGTCGGCAAAAGTAGTACAGGTATTATTTAAGTGCTACATGGAAAAAGTAATGGAAAATAAATTGGAGCCTTAACACCAAAAATTATATGACAAGCCCTTATAATCTCTATAAAATAATGTTCGTACTATAAATGGGATCTAAGAATTCTAGATATTAGATTTGAAATGTGCCCGGTACTCGCACATATATACTGAAGTATTAATTTATAAGTTTACCATTAAAAGCAGCCTAAAAGTTTACTTACACATACATGGTCAAGTTCTAATCTGCTATTCTTTTATACAAGTGAATATAAAGCATATACAAATTTGTCGCAAATTTGTAATGTGCCTTGTACTTTAACGTATACGTAATATAATGATGCATTTTATTAATTTATGAGATTACTGCCTATTAGTAAACCATAAAGTTTTTAAAAGATGTAAGAATGTGCTATATTGATAACAAAAATTAATAATATCTGGTTAAACCACAATCCGCTTCACCTTTCTGCAAATAAATTGATATGAAGCAACAAAAAATTGTCAGTAATCGATTACTTTATTAACTTAATTAATGGCTATCAGTACAGTTGTCCAAGTGGAGCATACTAAGCCTTGGGGGCCAGGCTCTTCTGGACCAGGGCGGCGTTCTCCCGCAGCAGGCAGGTGGCTCCGCGGTAGGCCCACTCGCAGGCATTGGATCCCTGCTCGTTCTTGTCCACACAGGCGGCAAGGGAGGCGTGGAAGGCCTCGTTGTGGTCGGCATGGTTGCCCACCAGCTGCTGGTGGACGTTCTCCACATTGAAGCCGGTCTGGACGTCGAACAGCTCCCACTTGGTGAAGACGCACTTGAGGTAGCACTGGGTCTGGGGTTCGTTGGGGTACTCGAACTTCTGGTACTTCTCCACCACATCCGCGGGAATGCCCAGCTCCTTGACGCACTCCTCGCGATATTTCAGCATGTCGTTCCGGTTCCTCACCACATAGTCAGCGGAGGCCTGTGACCCAAAAGGGGAAGCAATATTTTAGAATATTTCTAACTCTGGCTCGAGGGTTATCGGCCAGGGTTCAATCGGACGAAACACTCACCAGACCGATCAGCACGCAGATGGCAACGAAAACCTTCATGTTTGCTCTGTTCAACTTGTTTGCCCGACGATCAAGCGAAGACTGTGTCTCAACAGTGACAGTCAGCCGCTATTTATACCCCACAGAGGGTACTGATTTGGGCTCGGGGATTGGACTTGGTACCTGAGGGGCTCGAAAAAAGGCACATTTCATGCTCCTAGCATGGAGAACTTGATTCTTTTGTGAGGCGAGCAATTAACGCTTTTGTGGTGGGCCAAGTGGACAACAAAGAACTTCTGGTTGCGATCTAATAACCTCCAGCAGCTGAGCTGCTGAGCTGCTGATAAGACTGCCGCCCTTTCCATTAATCTTTGGCAAATTGGCACGTTTGTAGTTTTATTTTTTGAAAAAAAAACAAATTGATTAATATAAGTTTTTAAAGTGTTTAGTAAGCACAGCACTTCTGGCAATCGTTTAATTATATACACGTACAAAAATAAGTTGCAAAATTATCACTTTCAAGTTTATAAAAATATAACTTTAAACATTAATACACAAAAAATTGATAACTAATTAAATTGTATATTTGTTGATGAAAGGGCTTGCTTTTTAATTTTTTAACTTCATGTAAAACATTATCTACTTTTTTTATATATTTTTTCTTATATTGTATTTATAAAGTGAACTAATTTGTATATTTCAAATGAAAAATATATATTATTTATTGTAAATACATATTTTGTGAGTGCATTTGAACAAACCATATTGATTTCCATTTGTGTGCATTTGTCCATTCGACACCCATAGTTTTTGTTCTGTCTGATTGGGGCTGCACTTAAAAATTTCCACTGTCTAGGCAGGTAGTAGTAAATACGAAATGATTTTCCTAATGCGTTTTATTTATGGATCCATTTATGTGTGTATCCCAAGAACCAGGTGTATAGTGTATTTGTGTGTGCTTCGATTTCAGGTAAGTATAGAAACGTGAGAACGCAGCTGCTGATGTCTGGGATTTCATAGTTGCACATTAGTAGTCGTGGGGTAGACGACAACAGGCAAATTGATCCAAGAAGGCATTGAAGCAGCCCAGCACCGACATGCCCATGATCAGACCTGCTATTCCTCCATAGGAAACTGTGTGTTAAAAGGGTTTAGTTTTTTATGTAAAAATAATAATCGAGTTCCAAACTTACCCATCAGATCGATCAGGGTGAATCGAAGCATCGAGCGGTAGGAAAAGAGGGTCTCCTCCTGAAAATACACATCTATTTCGATTTCCGTGGCATGGCTGGTGTGAGTGCCCAATCTTTCGGTGTAGGTGGACGTATGGTACTGGGTGTGATCACACGCAGGAAAACAGCCGCAGTCAACGGTGGTAAACACGTTGTCCCTGGACTCCTCGATAATGTTGCTCATGGAAAAAATGTTGACTATAAAGTCATGAAAAATGTTATAAGCATTTAAGCATTTAAAATTTAATTTTTCGTTTGAACTAGGGACCGTAATCAATGTAAGGTTTATTTCCAAAATCACAAAATAATGATTATTTTTTTTACTTTTTGTATACTTTTCACGTTTGTCGTTTTACAGTTCTATGCAAAAATATCGCCAATACTCTGCACACAGAACTTGCAGTTTCCAAAAGAGTTTATTTTGATAAAACAAAAATAGTCATCTTTAACATTTTTCCTTAATAAAAAATGACTATTAAAATTTTTTTTATTAAATTACTCAAATAAAATATTATAAGGATTGAAAATTGAATAATCATTTATTAAATGAATAGTTTGACCAAATGCCAATATTAATTGATTGATTTTTTGGCAAATGAATAATCATTATGTGCAGTCCCTGGTAAGAACAACAGTTCAATGTTTACTAGTAAGGACTCCCAATATCATTTGAAGTTTTAAACTTAAAAACCTACGTCGATTCTTATTAAAACAGTATAGGTCTTTAACACCACAAATCCTGCTGTTGCTACTGTCCTTTGCATTGGTACTGTTTTCTTTATTGAAAACGGCTTTAACTGGTAAATCCAAAGTGCAGTTGCACTTTTTAAGTATGTAGTTAACGTGGCACTTGTATATGCATTCCGAGCGGGTATTGTCGGGAGGAATTTCGTTCTAAAAATAAAAGGGTTAGATAGTTAACTGCATTTTTTCAGGTATTTCATTTAAGCAGTAATAAACCTCGAAGTAACATCGACGCATTTGAACAGGTCGAGCCTTGACTTGCAATTCGGCTGTGAAACGCAGTGGTTCGACCGGCACTACAATACGATCCTCCGAAGAATAGTCAATGCTCATGCCCAGATGCTGAGAGGGTTCATGTACTACAACCTGGAATAAATATTTGCAAATTAAACTAGATACTATACGGTAAATAATAATTTTGGGACTCACACCCAGCGTGTTCACAATATACTGGCTGTGGTGCCGTTGAATTTTTACGGTAAGACCGCTATAGGAACCCGATGATGCCACGGACCATGGCCAAGTTTCGTCCCCTCCAGAGGCGAGCGGTGAGTTGAAGACGAAGGCAAACCCATTCAAGGTCTTTCCAGGACGAAAAATTTCACAGCAGTTCATCGGTTTGCGGCGCCACTGACACTCGTTAAAAAACTGTTTGCAATTGAGCTGCCAGGACTTGGAGATTTTCCACTTAAATACGTCCAAATCCTCGAGTTCCGAAAACTCCGTGAAGTTTTCCTCCGTCAGGCGAGCTGCCATCGGAGTTTGCCACATCACGGACTGGACCAAATTATAGGCTTTGCTCTGCCTCTGTGCTTCTTTTGATATATTTACACTGGTGAAATTAATCGGGATAATGGTGACGCCCGGAAAACTGATCTCAGACACATGCACATCCGTCCTTTCGATGGAGGTCTGCACCCAGTAGTAGAAATATCGCTCCGAGGACAAAATACTCACATACACAGTGGCTAAAAAAGCGATAATTTTAAGCGGCACTCTAGCATACCTAAAGAAAAGGCACAATGTGATTTATTGTACTAACCAAATATCCATATATCATTAAAAAACAGTATTTAATTTCGAATATGAGTTATTATACGTTCAAATGTATCATACACTCGTATGGGAATAATTATATTATAAAAGAGTGTCTATTACAGAATTTAATATTTTTTCCGCATGCTTTAGAGTTTTTACTCCTCGGTTAGGGGAAATATCAGAGGAGTATTGGTGTTATGGTAAATTGTCACTCACCGCCTGGCCGATGCAAACTTATTTTTCCCCTTCCTCTCCTTCTCGGACTCCTGGTGGTCATCATCATTATCCTCGGAGGTAGGTTCCGGCTTCCAGACAGTTTCTCGCATTTCGCTCAAACGCTAAACTTCTACTGTGAGAAAATCATGCCTAATTGGCAGTTCAGCCCGCTAATCAATGAGTTCGACCGGCACTTCTGTCAGCGGGCTTATCAATTTCCGGAAACATAACTACTCAATTACAAAGCTTGTGAGCCATAATGGATGGCCTATCCGAAAAAAGTTCACCGACTGCAATTACAAGTCCACTAGTAACAAGTCGAACTGTGGCCATAAAAGGGACTCCCGAATTCCGGGCCAAAGCTCAGTGATTGAGTGACTCGGTTCCAGAATGGCCAAGGGAGATAAGTCGGTGGCGGCAGCCAGTATTAGTGCCAGTGACAAGTGCCTCATGGATTTGCTAAGGGTCTATTTTCGGAGCTATTGCGAAAAGTCAACTATTCACTGCGTTCGCTATTTGTACGATCCACAGTTGCACAATGTAGAGAGGTGGGTTGGTGCTAAACATATTATATTCCTTTTCGTTTATTAGTTAAGTTCCAAAAATGACTACATCTCGATCATTTTTCAATTTTTAATTGATTCTGATTCTTGATTCAGACAATGTAGTTCGTAGCTAAAATCGCGTATCATCTCTGTTAATAAGACATTATTTTGATTAGATTTTTGGTTTGGCAAAAACATACGTTTTTTTTTAGCGGCATAGAACCGAATGGATTTTATAAACAAATAGTTTAACCTAATTGATTTGCAAATATTTTTTTAAATATAATTTTTTGGTTGATGGCTTTGGATAATTTTCATTTACAGACTCATCTGGTGTGTGCTGCTGATCATCAGCGTAGGTCTCTCCTTTTTCTTCTACCTTCTACTTTCTGAGCGTTTTGTGACCCAAAAGCTGCAGACAGTGGTCCACGATCCACAATACCCCGTTTTCCTGGTCCAATTTCCCGCTGTGGGAATTTGCACGGACAATCGCATTGATTGGACCAAATTGGAGGCGGCCAAGGAGAAATTCCTGCCTGCCAACTCGAGCGTGGAACTTGTCGAAAGTTTTACCATCTTGGTTGCCCGTTTGGAAACCCTCCGCTTTGGCATTTACATGGCCAGTTTGTCCCAACTGGAGGACGATAATCTGGAGGCAGTGGGATTTGTGAATTTAACCGAACTATCCATGTTCTTGACCATACGCTGCGAGGACATAATGGTCTCCAAATCCTGCCTGTGGCGCAGTGCCCCCTTCAATTGTTGTGAATATTTTGTTATGGAAAAGACAGAGTTTGGATTTTGTTTGGTTTTCAATTCAGAGATATCACCACTCTCGAAGGCAATAAGAGAAAGGGAAGGTAGAAACTTTTATCCAAGGCATAATGCCAAGGCAGGTCAAGGTACTGGATTAAATTTTGATCTGCTCATCAATGAAAGTTTTAAGCGACCCGATTCCCAGGCCAACGATAATGTCTACGTAAGAATATAGTTAGCATAGAAAACTAAATAAATAAGTGCATATTTATTTCAACACCAGGTTATGATTAAGAAGCCAGATCAGTTGAACAATGTTCTATACTCAATGACCCAAAATACGGAGACCTATGTGACCGTACGTCCGGATCTCACTTGGACGGATGAGACCACACGCAACATTCCTCCGGAGCGTAGGAACTGCCTTTTTGCGGACGAGCAGCATGAGTTGGATGAACATGATGCGGCCAAGAAGTTTGGAAAACCCTTTCAGCTCACCAACTGCCTAAATAGATGCCACGAGTCCTACTTGGTTCAGCTCTGCAACTGCTCTCTGCCAATTTTCTTCCTTTTCAACAAAAGGGGTAAGTTTAAAGTCCACTCAAAAAGTAAGGCAATTAGATAAAATACCTTAAAAGAGTATAAAGTATTAACACTTATTTATTTGAAATCCATTTCGGTTTGTATATAAAGTTAAAGATAGTGAAATAAAAAATTTAAATTTTTAAAATATATATTTTTCATATTTAAAACAAAAAACCTATTATTTTGCAGTTAAAGAATGCAATTCTGTTAGCCTACGGTGCCTGGCTCGTAACAATGGTAAATGTGATTTGAAAAGATTAATACTGGATATTACAGCCCTTCGTTGCAGACATTTTCAGCTACGACAAACGGAGGGACGAGGATGCCCTTTTCAGTGCCACTAAGCCGGGGATGACCTGTTCCTGTTTTGTGAACTGCTACCTGCTCGACTATTATACGGCCACCACCACTCTGCCTTTGTCTGCTCATAAACTGTGGGGATAAACGTAACCTTTGTTTGTTGTTTTTTTAAATATCCAATACCATTGCTTGCAGGCCCAAAGATCCACAACAAAAACTGTTCAAAGTGGATGTGCACTATCAGGTGGAAACTACACCTTTGTATCGCACCAGTTTGGAATTCACCACAATTGATTTGATAGGTACGACAATTCGAGCGTTGAATATATATCTATCTAAAATTTGATTATTTTCTTGCAGCCAATCTAGGTGGAATCTTTGGTCTCTGTTTGGGAGCTTCTGTGGTTAGTGCCTTTGAACTGATTTACTATTTAACTGTGGGCCTGGCCATGCATCTATATGACAACAAATACTACGGGGTCTTAAATAAGCAACTGCGAATCAAATGGCGAACATTTAAGAACTACCTTAAAAACGATGTCAGCCCTGCAGCCCAAAAGAACTTTGGTGAAGGTAAACTAAGGCATCCCTTTAACCATAGAAAAAATGTTTGGTAACAAGGTTATTTAGAAGGACATTTTTATTGATATGATACTAATTAACAGTTTAATGTATGTATTTAATTGGTGTTATTTTTCTCTGACCAAATGGCACAGTTATAATGCGAGGTTCGGGTTTTTTCACTTTTCCCTTACCTTGTATATACAAATAAAGACCAATAGAAAAATAGTAGGCCAACTCAAAGGCGCTCAGCAATGAGCCGCCCAGAAAAAGTCCGATTATGCCACCAAAACTTGCTGAAATATAAAAATGCAAATGTATTACTTTTAAAAATAATTAAGATGTTTAACCAACCCAGTAATTCCACAAAGGTAAATCTCATGGTGGTCTGATATTGAATAAACCAGCCGGACTGGTAAAATATATCCAATCGCATTGTGCCAGCCTCTGTATCGGTTTCATTATTACTAACAAAGGATTTAGAAAATGTTGACTGTTGTTATAGAGCTTTTCTAATATATTTTACTTACTCTAGTGAAGTAGTGGTAAAAACGCGCTCGAAAATAAGCTGAGTGCAGCTGGTAAAGCAGTCACAAATCATGCTTTCCTTAAAGGGATTTTTCACAAATTCGTCCTCTTCGGGATGTCGTTCAATACTAAAGATAACTGTGAGCAAACTTTTGAAATAATATCAAATTTTAAAATACATAAGGGTAACAAACTTACGTCTGTTGTCGTAGAGACACTTGAAGTCTGAAGCTTTGCAGGCAGTAAAGTTATCTACAGAATATAAAATATAAATAAAAACATGTATGAATATTTCTTAGAATTAATCAATAAATCTAATAGTTTCACTTTTAAGTGAGTAGCTTTTTATTTATATTTTGGGATTAACTTATAAGGCAACGAAATAATGTATAGGCTTACCTTTATCGGTAATGGGGAAAAATATAGTGGGCGAACACTTGCAGAGTTCGATGACGTGTTCCTGATGGCACTTGCTGCGGCAGTTGCCCACCCAATACTGAAATCCCGGCAGATTCTTGTACTGCGGACTGTCCACTTCATCGGGAAAGATGCATCTTCTGACTTGGGGAGACACGGACCGGGTCCGTTCATCCGTGACCGTGAAGCGGGGCACCATGCTGATCCTGGTGTGCGCTTCATGTGGCACATGGCGCACAACATCGCTCCACTGCTGCGGCTGCTTGATCATCACGTTTATGCCTCGTTTTCCCGGACGGATGAGCGACCTGTTGCGCCTCAGGAAAATGTCTAATCCCGAGCCTTCGCCATAATGCGGAGTGCGAAGCGGGTAGTATCTGTCCTCACTCTGAAATAGGTATACAAAACATATTCTTTTTGACTTAGAACTTATCTTTGGTTGAAAAAAAATTAAAAATAATAATTTTTAAACCTCTTAATAAACATGATTTTGGTATTAATTTAATTAAATTAAATATAATATTTAATCAGAGAGTAACTCACAGCTTTTTTTCGTGACGCCGGACTGATCTCCGTGTTAAAGACAAAACACAAGCCGGACTCCGTGAACTGATGCTCGAAAACCTCACAGCAGTTCACTGGATTTCCCCGCCAGCGGCAGGCATGGAATAGATCTTGACATCTTATCTGGAGGTACTCGAAGACTTCGCGGAGATCTAAGTCGTTCAGTAGGTGCAAGTCAGCCACTAGAGTTTCATTCCTGAAGAAAGTGGACATTTCGTTCATGCGGGACAAGTGCGGATCCCCTGCAGCAGTAAAGAACTTAACGAAAAGGTCCTTTTGGGCTGCAGACACATTGGCTCCCAGAAAGTGCTCAGCTGCCCCGTTCTCCAAAAGCCTCCAATTGAGGCGATTCCGTGGGCAAAGGCCAATCGAGGGAAATGGAACCCGGAAAATTGGGAGCATGGTGTTCTTGATGGTGGTATGTATGCGCACCGTTTGGTAAAGTTCGTTCAGGTCCACATAAACCACAATGGCACCAATGCTGGTGGTCACCAGAATCAGCAACCAGATTAGCCTTATTTTATAACGTAAATAATACAATTCATTTAGTAATCTATTATTTAAGGAATTGAATTTAAATGTATTGTTTTAAAATATTGTAAACAAATTATAAAAAAACGTAGCCAACATTAAAACTCCCAAATTGTTTCTGCGAAAGTATTTTTTCCTTTTCTTGTTAAATTACATTTTTAAATTAAATTTTATTATTTGCATTTATCGACTTACCTCTCGAATTTTCTCATTTTGGGATCAGCCAAATATCGTATGCCGTGTACAGAGGACTCTGCTGCATAGCCCTTGAGATAAGGCAGCAAAAGCAGCCATAGTTTTCGCAAAGGACTTACATTCGTGGTATCCTGCTGCGTCAGGATAAGTCCAGTTTTTCCGTCGTAATCCATGTACAGTGGTCGACGGGGCCGTGGAAGTTCCAGTGGGTAAAACATAACTTTATTTGGGATGCGCTTCGTTCGAGTGCTGCGAAGATATTAAGAATTCAAATTTAAGTTAAGCGCGCAGAAAGCCTCCGCAGCATTGAACTCAATCAAAAAGCAATTATTCGAAATGGTCAAGACTGGTTCTCCTGCCCCAGCAAAACTTAAATCACGCACACAATTAACACTTGGGGGGGCTCTGCGCCGGGTGGCAGGACTAAAAGTGGCCAAGGACGCGCAAGTTGTTTACTCAACTCGATTCAGGATAGCAGTGGGATGGTGCAAGTCACTGTCCATTGGCATCGTAATCCTCTGCTGGCCCGACTGTTTGTTCGTTCATTAAACGGAGCTGATACAGTCAAAAAACTGTTTAAATTACCATTTTTGCTAGATTTGTTTTAGGTATGTGCAGTAAAGAATTATAACAAAATAATTTTACTATGAACAGACAAGAAGACTCAAATTAGAAGCCAAGATTACTGGATATAAGCCTAAATTAATTTAAGGAAGTCAACAACTTACTTCGAGTTTTTAACGGCTTGTAGGAATTTGCATAAAAAATTTTGAAAAAAAAGATTAGTATTGAAAATCATCAATTTAAAGCCATAACTAGAGTTCATATATTCTATAAAATATATTATTATTTTTCTGTTTGTAAATTTATTATCTTCTTATTTTCTGAGAGTGTATAAGCAAAGTACTGGTGGTTGGACAAGTCTGTGTTACTGTTTATTGAGTGCTGGTCAAAAGCAAAGTTGGGGAAGATGTCGGACATTTTTGTCAAGCTTTCAGTCGATTGTCTGTCGTTCCGAATTGTTTTGTGTAAACAAGTTATTTTCGATTTATCATTGCGTGCATTCCGAATCCTTGTCAACTGTCTTCTTCGATTGCCAGGATCTTCGTGGCTTGGGCAGCATGATTTATTTGGCCAACAAACTATAGCCAAAGTTGGTGATTTGATTTTCTGGAGTCTTGTATTTAGGTCCAGGGATTGAAGTCGACTTAGAGGCAAAGCGGATAATGCCGTCTTACATTAAGTTCACTACTACTACTAAGTGCTGCCAACGGTCAACTTCGAAAATCAGCACAGCAGACAATTAGGGGATAAAACACTGTTAAGTGGAACTAACGATTCTAAGATTAAGGAAATTTTAAACTGACGACTGGAACTGCTTATTTCTATCAGTTTTACTTTAAATATAAAAACAATATATCCCCTTATGTTTGACCCTATTAAACTTTTTACTAAAATAGGTCAAAAATACAATAAAATGGAAATTTAATTATAATGTTATATCTAAGCTTTTGGCCAATAAAACCATTTTCTCTTAGTTTAGTATTATACGGCTTGTATATATTTTAAAGCAAGTTTATCTTTCCCAAGATGAAAAAAACTCAGTCATTTCTGTACATTTTGAAAAGGTCGAATTGGCAGCACTACTCCGCTTCTGATTACCGCCCACAAATCCACATGCAAACGCACACTCTCACACGTGTAAGCCTTCTAATCCTGGCATAATGGACAACCCAACCCGAGTGGTCGCCAATTAGCGTTGTGTCAATCAAACATCAACAGCAACATCGTGTCTCTCCGCTGAGAAACTGAATGCCAATTGATTTGTGCGCTCGTCCTCAATTTTTCGGTCATCCTCGGGGATTGAGGTGGCTTACCAAACCGGGCAGGGGAACTCACAATTCTCAAAATGTTCCACATTGATTGATGACCAATATTCAGGTATATCAGTGCCAATGGTGAGGGCTAATTGAGACTGCAACGCGGGATAAATTTATATGGCACACACACTGGTCAAATCATGGTTGTATATTTGGCTTTAAACTTGCATTGATCTAAAGTTCATATTCTTGCAAAGGCAACATATAAGATGTAGCTTAAGTCAATGCATTTGAAAAATAAAACTGTGTTACTAGAGTTTCATGACAGCGGAAATAACTTCTGTTTTTTAATAATATTAATATAGTTGTTTGTTTTTGGTATATACAAATTAATCGGCTTTAGTGTATAATATAAAATTTATTCAAATTCTAGGAAGTACAATAATATATCAGCTTTAAGGCATATCCTACTTGTCTAATTAGGCTCGATTTTCCAGAGATCTACTTTCAAATCGCCCAAAGTTTAATTGTGGAAATCTGAGCCCTTGCTTTGTGAGTTAAAGCACTCAAAGGTAAGTTAAAACTGCTTCGATGCGCCTGATTAAACCGCCTCGGGCCGTGAAATAAATAACCCATCGCTCTTCATTATGCGCAGTGGGCGGAAAGCCGTGGCAAACTCCAATCTTTTGATGAGTAGTTATGAATATATAATAATTCAGCAGACACAGACAAACACACACGGCACTGAATCGACTCCGACAAGACGTTAATGACTTCCGCTTTCGTCAGAAACTTTCAGCCACACTTTCACTCTAACTTGCTGTCCCTGCGCGTGTGCAACAATTTCGCATCGTCGTCGTCATCATCATCATCATCATCATCATCATCTCCTCGTGGCAGTGGCAGTGGCAGTGGAAGTGGCCGTGTTTGGGTTCAAGTTCATGTGGCCTATTAAGGACAGACACCCTGGATGGAAAAGTTAAGGCAATTCCGAATCAGAGAAGGAGTTTCCCGGGACCACCCGTTCAAAATTCAATCTCACTTTTATGAGTCAACAGAAACGTGACGAGGCACAGGCACCGACCGTCACCATCACCATCGCCCATCACCATCGCCCAACACCGTTGCCGTGGAGTGACAGGATCAAGGAGCAGGGAAGAGGGACACTGAATGTTGCCAACTGCCAGTTAGACTGTCAAGTGTCTGGCAAAATGCCATTTAAATATGCAAATTCTGTTTAAAAGCGAAATTTAACTCGTTTCGCTGCCTGGCTAATTTGCATGTTTCTTCGCGGAGCGCCCTTTGTCTTTGTTACTGCTCAGAACTGCTTCGTAATTGGGTTTATCTTTTGATGGATAAATCCTAGAAGAAAAGTCTGGGCTCCATCACTTCCGGTCGCTAAGCTGCCATAAACAAGCCAAGTAACGCGTGTTAATTATTTAATAATATCAAGGGATTACAAGCCATGAACCCGAACCGCCATTTGCCATCTTGGCTGATTGATGGCCCAGCATTTAATGCTTAATGCTCCACCAACCACCCAAAGATTTGCCATTGATGGGGCTGCCAAACGGCCAAGGCTGTCGACTGTAAGGTGTTTTGTTTTGCAGCTGGCTGGGCGGGATCGGCAAGGACTCCATCTGAGAGCAACGCCGCTTGTCGCTCGCAAGTAATTTGAATAATTTTCTGAAGAAGTGCAAAATTTGCATATGAAATCTGCAATCTCGCATGCTGAAAAGGGGGCGGCAGGAGTTTTTCCACACATTGCAGTGCCAGCTGCAAGGACTCAGGCGCATTCAGGCAGCAGGAAGTTCATTCTGTTCTTGATTCTGTTGTGCAGACAAAAAAAAAAGGGTAAGGGTTAGATTGAATTTGGCATGACTTGATATTACCTTAGAGGCTAATAAAAATGTTGTTAACTATAAAATATGTTTATAGGTATATGATATATTTAAAATTTATTGGCATTTAAATTTGTATTTAAATTGAGTGTATATTAGCTCTCTCTCGATAGTAAAATTGTTACTTTCAAATCAATTTTCTATAATTTTTGATAGTGTCCTGTGGATTTGGCGGGCGGGCGGAGGCGTGGAAGATGCTTTTAACTTGTCTATGCAAATGCAAATGTTTGTACGCAATCGAGGAATAAACAAATGTGCTTTCTGTGAAAATGTGTGCATGTGCGTTCGCTCTTGTCGAGATGTTCGCTTTGGAAAAAAGTTGCTGCGAGTAAGCCGATGTGAGTTATGGGCGGAAGAAAATTAAGAAAACTTCTTATAATTGATGTCATGCATTTTTAATCTCATTCCAAGCGGCCTGCTATTTGCATTTTCCTATTTTGAGTTTCGTTTCGGTTCGCAGCACAAAATTTATCAACACATATTAGAACACTTGCTGGGGAAGGACAGCACTTAAGCTCTCAATTAAAACACTTTGCTGGGTACTCAACTCGCTTTAGTTGGGCAGTTCCTGAATGTAAACACTCGCATTATGGCTTTCTTCACAATTTTAATTACTTCGCGCAGACAGAATTCCTTAATTTGGTGCTCTTCACACATTCTGAACGTGGGCGAAATAGTAAAAACGGTCTTTACACATGCAAAATGCAATAAATGAGAGACGAATGCACGAATGATGCCAGGCATCAAGTACCAAAGGCTGTCAGGACACCCCGAGATCCTCGTGCCCCCCTAGAAATGCATGAGTGCCAGGGGAGCTCGCACAATTTAAGCTCAGAGTATTTAATTTGAAAGTTTGCTTAACAACTTTATAAATACCTAGTGTGCAAAAGCCGGTAGACAAGAATTTCATGTGACACATTTTTGTCGAAATTTTTCATTTGGCACAATGCGGGAAAGAAGGGGAGCGCTAACAAGCATAACAAAAATGTTTGGCTTGTCGTAGAGAAGTTTGTATTAAACTAATAATTTGGCTTAGGGAAGGTAAGCGAGCTTCTACAAAATATTAGGTTTAAGTAGAATAGAATTTTTGAATATGGGGAAGTCTTTTAATATACTATCATTTTTTTTATATATATTCTTTCCCTCTTTCGGAAAATAAACTTTTTAAATGATGCAATGTTGCAATTAATATATTTTTTAAATGTTTGTATAAATTTATAAGTCTTTTCCTGATCCGCTCCTGCCTGAAAGTGTTCTACAGTTCGGAGTATAAATACCGTATAACACTTTCGAGTCTGCGCAGAAGCCAGCAAGAATTTTGGCGCCAAGCGAACAGCTGAGAAATGCCGGGCTTTGGACCCCTTTCCGAAGGACGAAATGCTGTTCCGAGTGCGCGGCCCGCAAAAGTATGCTACACCACTCGACTTGTCCTGCGAGTTGCAACAAATGGCCGTGTGTGCGTGCGTGCGAGGGGGTGAGTGGGTGAGTGTGTGTGCC